AATATCATAGCACACTCAGTCATAATATAACCAGAACAATATCACGACACACTCAGTCATAATATAACCAGAACAATATCATAGCACACTCAGCCATAATATAAACAGAACAATATCATAGCACACTCAGCCATAATATAACCAGAACAATATCAAAGCACACTCAGCCATTATATAACCAGAACAATATCAAAGCACACTCAGCCATAACATAAACAGAACAATATCAAAGCACACTCAGCCATAATATAACCAGAACAATATCACGGCACACTCAGCCATAATATAAACAGAACAATATCACGGCACATTTGGCCACTTCTCCTGGCACTTATATTTTTAGTTTACAGAAATTAGTCAAAGTATGTTGACATATGTAGTGAAAATGGCATGTTTGACAACTAGATTCTTGCAACACAAATTTCAACATTGTGAATAAGGAAATACAGGGTGCTTAATAAGACATGCAGCACTGAAAGAACAAAAACTCACCAAACCATATGCAGAACTTCTTTCTTGCTCTTCTGTGACATCTGCCACATAGGCAAACACGACAGAAAATGTTACAGCAAATATGCCTGATATTGATATCATAGCAAAGTACCACCTAAAAAAAGAGTAAAACAAGTAGGAACATGATGTGTCTGTTCAACATTATTCATTGTTAAAGGAGCCCAAACATTGTAACTATTCAACATTACTCATTATTAAAACTGCATAAACACTCTTCATTCAACATTTCTCACTGTTAAAATAGCAGAAACACATATTTCTCAGGCTGTTAAAACAGTAAGAACACTGGGTGTGTGTTCCATTTACCATTCTTCAGATTTTTCAAAAAATAGGTAAATAGCATTTTTCAACATTCCTTAAGATTAATGGCCTTTACTTAATTTGTATTTACTCACTTATTGATCATCTTTTTAAGGTTTACTTTACACTTACATGGTTAGTGGTGTTTATTCATTTAGTATTTGTATGGTTAGTGGTGTTCATTCACTTTGTATTTACATGGTTAGTGGTGTTTAATAATTTTTTATTTACATGGTTAGTGGTGTTTATTCTTCTTATGTTTACATGGTTAATTGTTTATACATTTTGTATTTATATGACTAATGGTGTTTATTTACTATTCTTATGAAAGTGTTCTCATAAAACAAAGAAAGTTATGTTTATTGATTTATTCAATTTGTATACAAGTCATACCTTGTAAAGAGTTCTTCATATCCAATATTACTAGTACATTCTTTGTTAGAACTTAAACATGTATACAATCCCCACTAAGGGAATATGAGAGCATGTGAACAATTTATCATGTGTAAATCCTCATTAACCCTCTTGCTATGGGTAAGTCAAAGTTTGCATGTCACAAACTTCTAGAGTTACATTCAAAATATAATTAAACACTTTATTATGAATGTATGTGAATAAACTTGGTATCAAAAAAGTGGTTAATAAATAATTAATAAAAGTTCTGAACTTTATAAGGAAGTATTTTTTTAAAATCTTCAATCTCCCCTAATATAAGAATGTGTTCTCTAGGCCTTCTCCCTTTTTTAATTTATTTAACACCCCTTTCTGAAGTGCAGAATTTAATGTAAGTTACTCATTATAATATAGATATTACTAAAGCAAAGAATTATCTTTATAGCTTTTAATCTTATTTGTTTACAGAATTATAAACTAGAAAATTGGACCCACTTGCCACATCCTTTTACAAATTTCAAAGAGTTCTCTCTTACACTTTATACAATATTATTTATAACCAATAGAAAGGCAAGATTTTAATCTATCCAGTGATTTATTACATTGTTTTTAGTACAGAGTATTGTCTGTTACATCTTCAGTTTCAATGTTTTTCTTACAGTGTTGAAATTGAGAAGTTTATGGAATTATTTTAAGGCTCTTATTTCATAGTTAGAAAGCCAGTTAAATTATGATAATAAAATGACATTGTTTGCTTTGTGCATGTTATTATTCTATTATTTAGCATACTAGTGTCACTTATATTAAAAATTAGGCTTAAATTTTATTAACAACTGACAGCAAAAACAAAAGGTTAAAGGTAAGTACTATATTTCTTGTTTTTCATGTATATTTTTTATTTACTAAAATGAAAGAATTAGAAACTTAGTACGCTAGATTAGGTAAAAATTCTTCACAAGGTATGCTCGTGAACAGTTCGTGCATTACATCATCCAATATGGTAAGTTGAGCTATACTTTCTACAAGTGATTTACAACTTGTATGGCAGGTTCAAAGGGCAATAAAACAATAAGTATAAACAGGTGTAGACTGTTATGAGCCTTAAGCTATTTAGAATAGGCAAATGTACTTTACTGTTAGAATCTTCACTCATTCTAGAAAGAAAAAAAAGGGTAATTTAGATTTATTTTGTATTTTGTTATGGTGGTTACAATGTTGGCCAAATTTACTGAGAGTTATGGTAGAGAAAATAACAGATAAAATATAAAGTTTTACTGAAAAAAACTGTTTGATGTTTATTTCGGAGGTTTTAAAGCTTATGCATAGGAGAAAAAGTATTTTTAATCTTAACACGAAAATCACTTTGTACTTGGAGCAATCAACACTTTGACTACAGATATTCATGGACAAATTTTTAGTAAAAATATTTAATTAAAAGTCTGATATTTTGTGTAAAAAAGGCTTGTAATATTTACTGAAAGGTTGCCAGATTTTATAAAGATACACAAAAAGTATTAATAACTATATTATTAGTTAACCCTAGTTAATTTAGGGTTAATTATACAGTTAATACTGTATTAACTCTTTCAATACAGGGTCGGTCAATGTGACAACCTCATAAACATTTTGTGCTTGTTATAGTTTTCATGCTATAACTTTCAAATTAGTAAGTGAATGCTAACGAAATGTGGCAGATTATCAGTAAACATTACAATGTTTTCATATGCAAAATATCAATTTTTTTATAAAGTCATAAGGTTTGTAAAGCAATGTTTCCTCATGCCTTTTTCTTTCTGTTCACATCTTGCCTATCTATCGTGC